CAGCTGTAATATGAATCTATAATCTTGGTGCTAAATAAAAAATAATATACACATCGACCGACAAGATTATAATTATTGCTGTTGGCAAGATTATAGTTGTAAAACATCAGAGGATAAAATTATTATTATTATTGGGCTAAATAAAGATAATTTGTACACATATTATGGTAGTATAGTATGGAAACGTGATAATTGTAATTTTTGCGGGGAAATATAATAATATGTTGTAAAAAAAAAAAAAAAAAAAAAAAAAATTATTATTTTTTTTTTTATTATTAATTTGTGGTACAATTATAAATATATAGGAATAATAATAATGTGGAGGTACCCAAATTATTATTGTTGCAGAAAAATAATAATGTTGTAAAAAAGCAAGATTTTTGTTTTTGTATGAGATAATTATTTTTGGTATAATTATATAGGAAAAAATAATAATAATGTGGGGGTACCCTACGGCTTTCCATACAAACGCATTATGATATTTTTTCAAAATAATTTAAAATTTAAAGCTGAAAATCATGTCATGGAGCACGTCAAACTTTAATAATGTACGAATTCACGATATACATAATAATGTCCATAATAATATGTCTGCAATATGGCGTTACGAAATTTAAAAAAAAAATAACAATCAATAAATTGTCTAGACAATAATTTCTTATCAATTTTAAAGAGCATTCTTTTTGACGAGGAGTCGTAAAAACATTTCTTCGCACTCAAACTGAAATGGAAAAATTTAAAGATGTGATGTCACTGTAACTAAGCATTTTTTTTTTTTTACATTTACCTCATTTTATGATATTATTTTTTTTATATTTATTTTTTAATACTGCATTAATTGTGATAAATTCTTTATAACTCAAGAAGTATTTGTTCTAGTCTTTTGTATATGTCATACTTTTTTTTTTAAATCCACCAACCACTAATAATAACCATATTTGCAACAAAGCATATCGATATCAATGGATATATGTAAATGTTACTTACATACACACAATTAAAATGCAACACCATTAAACCAAGACATATGAATATTTTCCCCATAAGCAATCTGAATACATGTATACTTTTTAGTCTTTTGATTCTATCATACAACTTGTATTTTAAAAAAAAACAGACTTAAAATATACAGACATACAAATCATCATAGTACAATATTCACATACATATGTAACATATCACATTTCTCTATTACATTTCTTTGAAAAAAATAAATTAAGTTTTATATGCTCATGAACTACGACCGATAAGGAATTGCAGTCAGAAGGCACTTCAAGTGACACTGTACTTTATATTGCAAGATCCACCATCCTCAAAGTTTGCTCGTTAAATGTTCATGGATAAGATATTTAACGGCGCGGTATATTTTAAATTTTTAATATATATCAAACTGAGACCTACCCTGGGGTATTAATTCGGAAGCCAGAGAACACAAGCTCAATCTAAATATTGGCTGCTGCAAACAGTTTGCTTTGCCGCTATGTCCACGAGTAAAAATGAAGATTTTCAAAGATGCACTGTATTTTCGATACATGACAAGCATAGCCCAACCCTGGAGTCTGATCACTGGACACTCTAAACCACAGGGACACACATTTCACAATTTTTAATAGGGTAAATAGCTTTCTGTAATCATGCTTGCATGATTACTTGCAAAATGTTAATTAAAGTCACACGTAACGTACCTTACAACATGTTACGCCTATTGATAATTTTTCACGATATTCTTAATTTATAAAACAAAAAATCAGCTTACACTACCAGGGGTTTTGAATAGATAGCGAAAGATGAAAATCCTTTTGTTATTCAAAGAAAAATAACCAAACATAGTTTTTGCTGGTATTACCTCCAAATTTGTTTTAGAAGAGATGTACAGCATCATTTTGCATTTTAAAAGTCGCACAAAGGTCCTTCTTTTATTGGAACGTTCACGATTCAATTATGCAGGGAATGTCAGAAAATAAATTCGAAAATTCGCTGCATATGTCCTAAATTCAAATCAAAAAACCCTAATAATTTTTGGTAGAATCCCTGTCTAATTTTTTATCCTATTTGTTCAATAATCAAAGTGTTCAATACGATTTCAAGGATACGGAAAGGAAGGGGGATGTATTCTTATCTTATCACATATCATTATTAAAATTTCAATTGTTTGGCTGACTTTGAGGACACTGGCCTATCCTAATGTCCTTTCTATGCAGATTTAAGGAGATGAAAATGAAAATAACACAGTTTATTTTACATAAAACATATTAAAATCTATTTCAATCAAATTTCAATTTGAATATTTTCAGATTGAACAAAATGTACAAAGTCACAATCAGTTTATAAAAGATAAATTTAAGGAGATAAACAGAAATATTATTCATTTTTGGAATGTAAATTTAGCATCCCATGAAAATTATTAGCAGATACACATTTATCCCAGAAATCTACTGTTTACTAGAATCTCTTCAAATGTTTGAGTGTGTGAAAATATTTAAAAATATGTACGCAGTTAAATGGTTGTTTGTCTGCAGTGAGAGGAAGCGATGTCGTATAATAGCTTTGTTCACAATACAACGTTCAAACTACGTATCACATTAAAATGTAATTACATGCTTAAAAAAGATAATATATGTTTTGCTAGGTAAATCCTTATTGCTAAGATATGACATCTGAAATTTATTTTTATAATCCTAATTGATGTTATGTTGCATTTTCAATTGCTTTGTATATTTTTTTTTTATTATTAGAAACATAATCTGTAGTAATCTGTTATTTAAAATGTTTTTTTCTCCTGATGGACCATTTTACGCATTTTCCACGAGAGTTGTACGTACCGCCACTCACTTCCTATCTTAATTAAAAATCGCTGAAATTGCAGGTTGAATAAGAAAAGAATCTTATGAAATGGCATATTATCAATAATTCATCTTTAAACCCTTTTAACATGCGCATGAGTATGGAACTTGGATTACCATGTGATGTGAAATTACTTTTGATGAGGACTCCGTGATAATTGCAAAATTCATGCAGTTGTCTATCAAAAAAGTTTAGGTTTCTGTACAATAACACTCATGACAATCAAACTGGGTCCTGATCCCAGGACCCGTGGAACATAAATTTCACAAGTTTTACAAAGGTTAAACTGCTCATTTAAACCATGTTAGCAATCTGCCGCCATATGTCAACAAGTAATGAAGAAGATTTTCAAAGATGTGAAGTTTTTTTAAGATATGTTCAACTTAGAGCCACATTTAAACAAGTTGCGAGATGATACCGGTACAAAGAACTGAATCTACATCCAATTTTCTCAATTTTTCTCGATATAATTCATAATACAGAGATAAACATTACCGGACAATTACGATATCGCAGACAAGAAACAATCAAAAGAGCTGGCATCACCCATTCCTTTTAACTGTCCTGCCAGAGGCATGGTTGGGACATTAAACGTGTTTTGTCCGTCCTACTATCACGGTTTAAATTACATTTCATTTACATTACATTCAGTAGCGTACAAGTTATTTCTAACTTGCTAACTTCATATAATAGCAAACGCAGAACGTTTGGAAAAATTAAAATGAACAATTTATACATACATATGGCGTGTAAAACGTTGCATTATTATACTTTTTTGTTATTCTTATTCAAAGAATTTATTTATTATTCTTATTCTAAAACATATCATTCCTATTCGATAAGTTGTTATTCCTATTCGAAAAAAATGTTATTCCTATTCGATAGTTTGTCATTTCTATTCGACAAATTGTAATTCCTACTGGAAGAAATATGATTCCTATTCCAAAATACATCATTCATATTCGAAAACATGTGATTCCTATTCGAAAATTTTGTCATTCCTAATCGATAATTGTGTCATTCTTATTCAATAATTTTGTGATTTATATGCAATATAATTGTTATTCCTATTCCAAAACATACGATTTCTCTTCGATAATCTTATTTTATTCGATAATTTTATCATTCCTATGCGATGTTTTCAATATGAGTAACATGTTTATTGAATATAAATCATTTAATTATCAAATAAAAAATGGCAAACTCATCGAATAGGAATAACAAATTATCGAATTGGGTTCACATGTTTTCAAATAGGAATAACAACTTATCGAATAAGAATGATAAATTATTTAATAGATATCACATTTTATCGAATAGGAATAATATGTTTTAGAAAGAGAATAGCAAATTTTTCAACGGGAATAACAAAAAGTAAAATAATGCAACGATTTACACGACATACATACATACATGTATATTTTACATAACCTGTATTTATTCATTTTTTCACAGAAATTTCGATGAACTGAAATGGCAACATTATTTCCGATCGAAGGAAAGTTTTCTTTATAGAGTAAATGTTGATTTTGTTTTAAAACAAATATTTATGTTTTTTATCAAATATTGAACTTTGTATAACAAATCCGCAATTACCATTATATGTAATCTTGAAATATGCCAGCTTATAATGTGCTAAACATGTGCTTTGCTTTTTTCAGAGAAAAAATTGAAAAAACACAAAATAAATTCTTCTTAAAAAGCCTATTTTTGTATATGACTGGCCATACTATTCAGACATCGATATGCCATGTTTTTTTTATATTACTAATTACGACCTAGGGGTATACAAAAGGGTTGGTTCTAATCAACATTGATCAGTTGCATCTAGGCGTACGTGCAGTAGTTTCTGCATTAGAGACTGAAAGTTTCCTGCATTTTCAAGATCCTACATTAGTCAAATTTTCATGAAAGATTACATTACATTATATCATTTTCATTAATCTATGAAGTCTATTTGGAATACCATCCTGTTAGAGACAGACACAGAGAAAATGTTTTTGCAAAAATTATATTAAGCAAAATTTCAAAAGCAAAACAAAATATTTACATGGTAAAACCTTTAAAAAAAAATGGCCATGAAGCGTGAAATACGGCCAATAAAGTATAAATACCACCTGAAAAAACACCCGTCAGATTCAGATAGTTCTGTCAGTCAGCATGAGGAGGTTGATAATATTGTTCTCTGTCGTCTGCGCGGTGCAGATGGTGACAGCAATGTTCATTACTAGGAAGGTATGCCTATCGTTCATAATTCTTTTAAAGCAAATTAACAGAACGCATCCTTTCAATATTTTTCAGGACAATTTTTAATATTATTCCTTTTTTATGTATGCATTTGTGCAATGCTAGTCTTTATTTATTTTTTTTTTAAATTTATAGGGTATATATACTGATTAAATTTCCCTGAAACAAAGCATTTTGCAGACAATTGCAGAATTTTTATATTTAGCAAGTAGATACATTGTAAGGGCCAATTTTTTGTTAAACCTTTTCATTTCAAGCGATCGCATAAATTATCAAATATCTTTTATATTGCATGCATATGCATTTCCATTATAAGAAAAAGGAAAATTCACATTTAAGTTTTCAGGAGTTTACCTAGATTCTGTAAAGCTTAACCTGAAAATTCAAAGCTGATTTCTAATGTTGCTACTGTTAAAACCTGTCCACAAATTTTCTTGAATTTTCCTTTATTTAAAAGAAACTTTTTTCTTAAAGGCTATAATAAGAGTAACAATTTTATATTAAGTAAACGAAGAGTAAAACTTTTTTTTTTATAAAGTAAACATGAGTATTGGGAAAATTCAGAGACTTTTTTGGAAGTTGGGAACCCGAACAGGCGTCCGTTCAGTGAACTTGATTCACATTGTTCAATATAAATGTATCTGAAATTAGGAAAATGAAAAAAATAAGTATCCTCAGGCTTAAAACTATCTGCTTTAAATATCAAGTTCACATAGGTAAAGACAATTATCGTCATAAGAGAAAATTTCACGGGTACATTAAAAAAAAAATACTTTTTTATAATTCTTTCGGGGTTTCTCAGGTGTAACATTTAAATGAAATTAATATACCTTTTCCTTTTCTAAAAAGTAATTAAAGTCTTAGTTTGTGTGCTCTGCTCATTAGCAAAGGATATATACATAAACACGAAAAAAGAAGTAGCGATACTTAATCTCATTTAAATACTACAGAAGCCTACAGTTAAACCTTTTATAAGTAAAAGAACAGAGATAAATGAAAAAAAACTGTTTTCTTTCAGTAAGTTTGATTTTTTTTTTTATAAAGATGAAATGAGTGAAGTTCTCAAACTCTTTTAAAACAAAAAATCACGAAGTAATAATCCATAATTTCTCTGCTTCAATAATCAACGTGAGTTACAATAAATATTACATCTGCATATTTTTAGGTTTATCAAAAATGTTTCTAGTTTAATAAAGTAGGGTTAAGAATAAGTAATTAATTGAGATTTTTGTTGATATTTACCCCCCCCCCCCCCCCACACACACACACTTACTCTTTCATTATTCAGCAATAATATAATAGAGAATTGGCACAAAAAGAACATTTATGATAGCCTACTTACATTGAATTAAAAGTAATTTTCTATTTTCTGTAAGAAGGAATTTCTCCTAGAACTTTTCGCAAATGTCGGACAGTGTACAAGGGGTTATCTCGGGTTCATTGAATAATTCATTATCTGTTTAAATATACAACCCTTTACCAAGCCCATCAGTTTCTCTGACATCGCAGCCTATCATTCTCTGATATCGCAGTTGACAGTTTGATAATCATCTGAAAATTTAATAATTTCATGGTCAAACGAGCAACAAGGTTGAGTGTAAATTTATTTTGTTCTTCTCTATTCTCCCAAAAGAACACGCAAATATATTTGCCGACTAGCTCAGGGAGCATATCAGGGCGGCGGAGGTTTATTACTGTACATTCGACAACTATAATGCACATTATATAACAACACAAATGTATATATGAATTACACATAACTGGTGTGAAACTTGATTGGCCACGATGAAAACCAGAGAAAAAAAACTTAAGATTTTTGAAAAGAAAAACCTTTGGAAACTTTTGTTTTTTAATATACAAGAGAGAGAGAGAGAGAGAGAGAGAGATGTTCCAGTAATTTTATACACATCCTCTAAACTATTAAGACCTTTTCCTATTGATAAGGGCATGAAAGTTGCCACGGCATTTCTTCGAGGACGGTTAGGATATCAAAATATGCATTGAGTATGATCAACTTTATAAAAACTACTTATACCAGTGGGCCTAACTCCATGATCCAAAGGATTTGAAAGCAACAATTTTCGAAGCAGTTTCATCTCTCATTTGCTCAATTACCATGCAAACCTTTTGTTTGCTAGCTGAGCAGGCCTAAACTGATTTAAAAGAATGATTGTTTGTTTATATGTTGTTTAACGTCCCTCTCGAGAATTTTTCACTCATATGGAGACGCCACCACTTGCCGGTGGAGAGCTGCAAATTTTGTCCTATACTCGGCATTTACGGCCATTGAGCAGTGAGGGATCTTTTTCGTGCCAGCACCTACTGTGACACGGGACCTTGGTTTATACGGTCTCATCCGAAGGACCGGTCTCCACGTCCCACAGTGGGATTCGAACCCGCGACGTAAGGATCAACTCCTTACATCGCGACTCGAGAGCAGACGCTCTAACAACTGTGCCACGCGGGCGACTAAAGAATGATATACTCTTAGATGTTCTTATAGGTCAGTTTGGATAAATTTCACAATAATTAGATTTTACAAAAGAAGAGTTCGGAATAAATTAAATCTTTACGAAGGAATAATGCCAGATTTTAATAATTATTTGTTTGAATTCTTCATTTCTTTTATTCATACATATATGTAAACAGTATATTTGAAAGTGTAAGAGAACGAATTTTGGGAATAAATTATTATCAAACTTTTATCATAGAAAGGTCATTGAAATACAAGAAATGCGTTGCACAACGCAAAATGATTTTGTTCATATTACTGTAAATGCTTAAACAATTTGTGGCAACTTCAGTATTTTTTTCTTACAGGGTGCAGAAGAAAAATCATTGGATAAGAGAGAAAAAATATTGAAGCTGGTATATTAGAATATTACACAGATATATTACTCAAACACACATTATGTTTTTCAAAATGATTTCGACCTGCTTCGGTCATGCCATATTAATAAGGATATAAAACGTGTAATTGCTGTTTCATGTTATTTTTATTCTAGAGGAAAATGGGAATCTGAATTAATCGTTTAAATGATTGCAACATTGTTCCCACGGTCTCTTGATTGAGGATATCAATAATAAGGAATTTTTTAGTACTTTTAAATATGAAAGTTGTAAAATATTTGGATTCATTACTATTAATCCTTTCAATTTTAGCTTAGGCTTCTGAAGAAAAATTATCCTTCAGAAGATAGCAAGACTACCAGTGAAGACGGAATATCATTCGAACTAGCGCCACAAGAGGTGAAAATATAGATAAAGAGAGCTATTATTGTAATTTGATTTTGATTTAAGCTATTGCAATAATTCTTCATACAAATAAGTGGTTAAGAAGAAATGGCTTTCTGTCATATTTTAAATTTTGGTCCCAAGTAAATAGAAAAACATGGAACGCACGAGTGTTCCATCTGATATGAAAAAACATACATGTACGTATACATTTACCAACACTGGGATTTCACTCGGTCAATTCAGTAATAAATTATTGTCGAACACCAACGAATGCAAATAAGATAGAGGTGATCCCGCCTGTACAGTGACGTAAAAACGTCATAGCAGTTCAATATCTCATCGACAGCTCCTATATCTCATCCAGCAATCCGACATTGATTTTTTGGACCGCTTAATATTGAAAATATTAAACTTTTTAAAGTTTAGATTCATACAGGAAAGAATATTTAATAGTGTAACAATTTAAGTGCATTGTTCCATAAATTTGCTTCATTCTATTTCAATAATAAGTAATTGAAGACGTTTTACGATCATGTTAACAGGATGAGAAAACAGAATTGAACAGGCGAGGAAACTCAGCAAGTTTTATGGATGGCAGGGCAATCAACCCAGCGGATATGTCTCCGGCGGTATGAAAAAGACGCAGTGCCTTCATGTGTTGAAAACTCAAACTTGAATATAAATAAAATAATAAAATTAAAATATTAATATAATAATAAAATAAAACATTTAATTCTCTATACTCATTCAAAGTGAAAAACAAAGGGGTAAAAACTAAACGTCTTAATTTGTGCTACAAATGCAAACGGGATATTAGTCAAGACAATTTTTTTTTTTATTTTGCAAATGAAATATGCCTTTACCACGATACTTAATGTCTAAATATATGTGCAGCATGTATCGCTGGAGAAGAAAGCACTATCTTCGGAGGCGCAGGCGTTTTTAAATGCTCACAACGAGAAGCGGCGGATCGTCAACCCCACTGCAACAAGCATGAAAGAAATGGTGAGAAAAAAGACCATAATTCCTTTTTCTTGAATCACAGTCTGATAATGGAGACTTCATGTAGCCAGTGTCATATGCTAGACTTAATATTGTTGAAACATTCAGTCATGAAAATGTTAGAATAACTTCGTACTTTAAATTAAGCAACGCATTATTCGTATCAAGTTTATCTGACGTAGACTTAATGTTCGTTCAAATGCAACAATGTAATATGTAGCACCAAATCGCTACAATATTACTCAGCCTTTAACATGTATACTGAGTATGAATGCAGCTGTTTGTGTGAAACTTAGTTTATGTTTGACAACGTGTTGATATCATCGTCGCTGACCATGGCCAAAATGTACGATCCTCTCCTATTCTGGTCGGTAGGAGAAAGCTACATGTAGATGCTTACCCTGATTACTGTGTATTGAGGCGATGGGTTGACATAAATATTTCACTTTTATTAATAATCACTCAGTATCTTAAGATGTTAAAATAATGTATGAGGATAAAACCTGGAAATGAACAACTGTTTTTATTTCTAAAAGCATTAACTGATATAATAATTTGACAGGTTTGGAGCACAGATCTTGAAAACCTTGCCAGGAACTATGCCAAAAACTGCAACTTTGCTCATAATCAACAGAGATCCAATGGCATGCCTTATTATGTCGGCGAGAATCTGTATGTTAACTCAGGTATGTATTAAAATATGAACAAATAAGGGACTGTTAAAACGAGTGTATGCTGTCTCAGAAAGTGCATAAACTGTATACTCTGAGAGGGTTCTTAAACTGTGAGTTCATGTAAATTTATGGTAAGATGTCACAAGCTGAAAGTGGAAATTCTTATTTTACATTTATGTGCTTCACCATAGCCCTGATAATATCTTACAAACCGTTAGGCTTGAGGTATCTTGGAACTATGATATTGAAGAATCAAAAAGTTAATCGCGGTACCTTTATAATGCAAGCCAATATAGGTATGAATATGGATATCGGTGTACATACCTTTAAAATGTAGGGGAAAGTGTCCTATGACATAAAACCTTGCTTCTAAAACATCGAAGGCATGTGAAATATAAAGCCCATTTACTACAGAAAATAAGAGGATGTGATTAATTGTAAGTCTGCCAGATTCGAAGGGTGAGGGAAAAACTTGATTTCTAAAATCTATTTTGTGGAGTTCCGGCAAATAACAAGCCACCAACGCAAACAAGAGATTTTATTGTTATACCATTAAAATTATTTCCCATATAAGCCTATACTAAAAAAGTCTAACATTTCCAATGTTGCACTAAGCGGCCCAAAAATTCGATCTTGGACCGCTGAGTGTGATATTGGACCTGTTGATGAGATATTGGACCGCTATGACGTCATACTATGTAGGTGGATTCAGAATTCTTAATTCACATCTTAAAGATGAATCTACAAGTAAAATTAGAATTGCTTTGCATCGTATATAGTATCTTAAAAGTCATGCATATATTACGGCATAACAATGCTTAATGATTTTGTCCAGTTATATATAGATTAAAATACATTGAGTAGTAGTTTAACCGAATTTTGTTTGATGGAAAATCAATCGACTATTTCTAAAAGACAAGTCATGTTTCTGGAATTTGGCAGGGGATATATCACCTGGTGTGGCAGTAACGAGCTGGGATAATGAGAAGAACGACTACTCATTCACAAATAACTACTGTGACCCAAACAGCAAGTATGGTTGTGGCCACTATACTCAGGTATAACAAACAATTACCAGTATTTCATCGAGATAAATTCTACGATAAACACTATCCTTAACTTTTTAATATTTAAATTACAGGTTGTCTGGGCAAATTCTGAATACCTTGGGTGTGCAAAACATTACTGCAGCTATGTTACAAATTTTGGACCAGGATATTTAGTTGTTTGCAACTATGGTCCTGGGTATGAATGATACCTAACATATCTTACTTGTGTGTTTTATGATTTGCAATAAATTTATTAAAATGTTAATTAAGCGACAAGGAACGAAACAGCCATTCAATGATTAAAATACTTCTCTTTGATCCTTGCAGGGGTAATGTTAATGGAGCGAGACCATTCACTAGTGGACAAACTTGTAGTAATTGTCCAGCCGGATACACATGTGTGAACAAACTATGCAGCAAATCTGGTAGGAAAAGAAATTAAATAAATATCCGTATCTATGAATGAAAGAATTATTAATAAGCATATGGGTAGAGAGCTATTTGCCCACCATCAAGCTGTATATATAAATACCGTATATATATATATATATATATATATATATATATATATATATATATATATATATATATATATATATATATATATATATATATATATATATATATATATATATATATATATATATATAATTTAAGTATTACATGTCAAAATGCTGTAGGTGGATCAGGTGGAACTGGGACCAACCCCTGTTCAACGAATCCATGCAAAAATGGTGGCACTTGCAGTTCTGTCTCTGGGAATGCAGTTTGTCAGTGCACCAGTGGTTGGACTGGAAGTACATGTGAAACACAAGGTAATGGTCAATTATCAATTACACTCACATATTCTTCATATAATTTTACTGATTTAGCAGACAATTTTTTTTAATAAAAGGTGAACCTTTTAATTGGATTTTAGCCACTCACATCTGCAAACTTGAATAACTTGAAAATTGTATAAACTTTTAAAGCATTTTCTTAGTAAAAACTTTCTGTGATATAGTGTATTCAAAGCATCAGCCAAAACAATGCATTTGAACACTTTGGTGAACATCCTTCATCTTCATTTGACTGCGTTAATATGCTTAGCTTAAGTCAAACTTCATCTTTATCTTGCCTAAAGCTTATGTACTACTCGATCTTATATTTTTACATATATTTTAGTTAGTTTGAGTTATTTTTTTTCAAGCTTTGATGGTGATCTCACAGCTAAGGAAGGATGTAAATACTCAATCTATTTAATTAAATGAGAGCTAGATGACTAATGCCCTTATATCATTGTAGCTTCCTCTAACTGTTCACCTAACCCCTGTAAGAATGGTGGTACCTGTTCGGACAATGGTTCTTCTTTCAGTTGTAAATGTTCATCCTCTTGGTCAGGTTCCACATGTGAAACACTGGTAACACAAGGTAAAAAGGATAAAAAGAAAAAGTAACCATTTATTGTAAACGTGGGAATATTTGTGTGAGGGATTTTTTGTAAAAATTGTAATTGCTAACGTTTTGCAAAATGTATTTCCACTTTACCTTTAAACTGAACAATAAATGTAATAATGTTATTTATCAATTACTTTTTGCAGCTAACATCGATATGTGTGGTTTTGAAAACTCTATGTGTCTCAGTAACTACAACGGTAACGATGTCGATTTTAAAAGGGTGTGTTTTCAAATTTTCATTTCATTCCAAGAACAAATTTAGGATCAACTTTTTAATTAAAAATGACGCACTATTCTTAAAGTTATTCTTGAAGAGTCGAAGGCTTTAGTGAGCTTTTCTGATCGAAAAGCGTCCGGCGTCTGTCTGTCGTCAGTTGTTTGAAAACTTTAAACATCCGATTTCTCCAGAACCACTGGGCCAATTTCACCCAAACTTGCCATAATTTTCACATGAAAGGCCACATTCTCTATCAAGGAGAGACAATGGAGAAATATTAAAAATTAGATGTCATCTTTTAAAAATCTTATAAAGAGCCACTAGGCCAGAAAAGATGAGTCTTAAGTGAAAGCTTCATTACATAGTGTAGAATCAAGTTTGTTCAAAAACCCCGGGAGTAAGGTGGGGCCATAACAGGGAATGAAAGTTACACATAGGACTATATATAGGAAATATCTTTTAAAATCTTTTTCTCAAGAACAGCAATATCATGATTAGTCATATTAATATAGAAGCATCCTTAAGTAGTTTAGATTTATGTTCGTTCAAATCATGACCCCATTGGTTAGGGCTAAGCCACAACTTAGGATCAAAGTTATACATAAGCACTTTGACCTAAGTTGTGGACAAACCCTAATTAACCCAGGGGGTAATGAATTGAACGATTTTGAATCTAAACTACCTGATGATTCTAAGAAACCTGAGGATCTTCTTCTCAAGAACAGCAAAAACATGATAAATCATATTAATATACGAGAAGCATCTCCAGGTAGTGGAAATTAAGTTTGTTGAATCATGACCCCCGAAGGTGGTGCTGAGCCACAACAGGGAATCAAAGTTATACATAAGATATTTAAAAACCTTCTCAATAACAGCAAAGCTATGATTAGTCATATCAATACAGAAGCATTCTCAGGTAGTGTATATTCACGTTTGTTCAATCATGCTACCTAATGGGAGTAGGTTGGGACCAGTTATATAAACTTTTCAAATACTGAACTGACTTCTGCTTGTCTCTTGCGAAAGTGCTCAGGTGAGAGGTGTGGTCCATAGGCTTCTTGTGTGTTTTGTAGTATAGCTCGTTTACTATGAATGGCGTGAGTGTTCAAGCACCAGAAGGGGGAGCATTTGCTGCAGCTTATGCTGGGTACATTTCTAATACACAGTATGCTTATCTGATGTCAAATTATTTACCAGGTAGGTAACTAATTATCTCTGTTGTAGTATCTATTAAAAACAATAGAAAAAAATGCAACTACTTAATATACACTAACTGCAATGTTACTATAATGTTAAGGAAACCCTTAACACTGCACAGCAAAGAGTTCTAATTGTAGGGTAGTGTTAGACAGAGTGATCTGACCTTAGCTGTAAAATAGAATAAATGAAAATCTACAGTTAATGACACAGTTTGTAATGGATTGAAGTATTCTTCAGGTGCAGGTGTCCTGTAGCGGAAATGAACTAACTATATAAATATGTCAAGTTTTTCGGTCTTTACAGAGAAAGCCGTGAAAGTGACATTCCAGTACAGAACAGTAGGGACTGCTAGAATGACATTTGTGTACAAACAGGATGGGAAGGATTATACAGCGCCGTTTTCATATTATAACAGCAATGGCTTCTGGCAAACGTATACCGTGAGCATACCTGCTGGGAAGAATACATTCGTAAGGAAATCTTTGAAATGCATTAAGGGAGTATGGTACTGACAAGTCCTAATTTCAGAGTAATTAAAACTCTAAAACATCCACATAAAATGAAAGAAGTACCTTTATATATTTCATAAAATATTATAAGAAAAGGTTCTAGTGAGTAAATCAAAAATTATGACGCACTAAAATAAGGGGGGTAACTCTGTATGATAAAGTGATATTTTTATAACCAATTTTTAAAAAATTGAGAACAACAATAAAAACAATATAAAAATATTTTTTTGAAAAAGATGTCATCCACAATATTGAAATTTTAATTTCAAAACAAAATAGTGCAAGAAAAAAGCCAAAAAGACAAATTAATTTTGATTCATTTATATCATGACAATTTATTGGGAAAATAGGTTCATGTATATGTACAACGTATTTTTTAATAATGAAAGAATAATTAAAAGTTTGATATCTTATGCTATATTTATAGTGATTTGCTTGCTTTACAAATTGCTAATAAAAAATTATAATGTTAGTGTGTAGTTTTGGAGTAATGTGCTCCCGAATTTCCTGACCCGAATTTCCTCTGCTCAAAAAGCTGTTATAAAATGTTAAAATAATGAGATTGCAATTTATTTACTTGCTTATAGTTTCTAACTCTCCTGATTTAGTCGTTTTAAACTCAAATTTTTATTATAGTTATTATTTTTCTCTTGTGACACGGCGGGCAATGCTTTTCACCAGATTTTTGCCGAACAATCCGAAAATCTTCCGATTTCCCGGTTTGGTTTTGTACATTATCGTGTACACGTCACTTCCAGTTTGCAACTCGTACACAAAATGCCGAATCGGAATCAAAGTTGAAAGTAGACCACTTGGAGGAGGTTTTTACAATTATCTATGAATTGTTTTGAACAAAAAAAAAATAGAATTTGAAACTCCGGCTTATAATTTCTAACTTTTAGTGTAACGGATGAAATAAAGTGAATTGACGAAGACAGAATGCTCGAGGCTTATTGTACATTCGTTCTAATTCTATGTCTCCATGTTTAATTTTAATTAATAATAAATCTTTGTCTTGAATGAATATTTTCCATCTTCAGCAATATTGAAAGATTAGATATGATTCAGTAACTATTAACCAACCAGCTATTAAACCCAGGTCCGTAGAATGCGGGGGGGGGGGGGGGGGGTTCTGAGTAAAGTATATCGTTCTAGTAAATTTTCCCTTAGATGCTAGTCTCCAATGTCGAGCACTAGCAAATTCCAGGATTTGGATAGTGAAATTAGGTGTTTTTTTTATATTTGCTTGTCAGATTTTTGAGAAATATTGCCCCCCTTTTTTTGGTCTTTTTTTTTCCTTTATCAGATTTTTTTGGGGAAGTTGCCCCCCCCCCCCCCTTTTTGAAATTGTTGCTACAAGTCTGACTAAACCATCATACATGCTGTTGAAGCTAGGGAAAATAGTGACACCACCACAATATACTACACTGTACTTTGCTATGCATGTGTACAATATGGTGTAGAGCAATATTTGACAAAATCAAATAAAATTTTAAGAGCTAAAACCACAAAGTACAAAAATAGTCCTTGACTAAAATAGATGAACTTATGTTTTATAATTTGAAGGGTTTTAAACTATTTATCTTAAATATCTTTTTCTAGTTTTCTTTTTATGGTTAAAATAACCTTTGTTTCTCTAACAATAAGTTTACAAGTCAAGCAGTAGGCTTGTAGCAACGGTTTCAAAAGTTGGGGAGGGGGCACCTTCCCCCAAAAAAATCTGTCAAGCAAAAAAAAAAAAAAAAAAAAAAACTAAACTCACCAAAAATAGGGGGAGGGGCTACTTCCCAAAATAACCTGATGGGCAAAAAAAAAAAAAAAGAAACCAAACTAATTAAATGTCCATTTCGTGGAAATTGACAGTGCTTGACCTTGTAGCAACGACGGGGTGGGGGGGGGGGGTGGGGGGTGGAGGCAATCACTATAGCAAACTACTATACTCGGAAAAAGTAGGTCCCCCCAGCATTCTACGGGCTTGAGCAGCTTTGTAATACTGCACCTGACATAACTCTCACACACTGACAGGAGCTTATAAATGAAGATAAAAACTTACAGTACATGACGTGAGGCAGCTTATTACCTCCTCAATGTAACCATATGCATGAGGGACGGGAGATTATTAATACAAGAAAGTTGTAGGAGATTATACATTCATGACATTGGGTCAGATTATGACACAGATTCGAGTGATAAGCAATTTTTGTGTCAAGTATCAACTACCAATTAGCCTCCATTTGAGAGTAATAGACCAGGTACAAATAACACACCTTTTCTGCCAGAAGCCTTGAACTTGCTGGAATGACCTTGAGTCAAGGTCAGTTACTCAATACATACATGTAACCTTAGGTTATATGCAATATTTATGATCAGTATGAGCATCTCATGTTCTCCATACAAAATACAGGAATTCAATGTTTTTCTTAAAATGACATTTAACTTGATCAAAGGATCTTGAGTCAAGGTCATTAGCAGTCCTTGTGTGCCATTTTCATCATTTTTCCAATGGAAAACCTTGTTAAAAATAAGGAAGATGAATTTCCCAGGTTCTACTCTTTTTTTAACATGCAGTGTATTTAGCATCTGTTCATACAATGATAAGGTAATGAAATAATTTTTATAATGAAATGTATTTAATATTGCAAAATTCATGAGAATCAAAATACATTAACATATTGAAAACTTATTTGCTCTATCTACAATTAAAAAAAAAAAAAGAAAAATAATTTGTAATTTGACCAAATTTGAATTTATGAAAACTTATTACATTTAGTACCAAACACTGACATTGTATCTAAAAATGATGCTACAGACATGGCAAATTCTGATAACACCAATAATGTATCCACAACTGATGTCATGGACATTTCAAACAGACTGAAGATATATGACTCTTTTCATATAAAACTCTGGGGTCTTTCAACTGAAAAAGTCTGCATTCTGAGATAGAATCCACTTCACTTTTTATAACGAGTCACACACAGTTTTCAATTCACATCTTCCATCAACATGATCAATAACTCCATATCGAATATGTTGGCAATGCCAGTTTTAAACTGCATTCGATAATACTGGGACATCATAGGAAATGATAGTGTATCCAGTGACTACACTTTTCTTGTCGTTACTCAAAACTTTAGTCTAATTCTGATTGTTGCAAGAGAAACTTCTATGTTCACTTGTTATTGTACACCTTCATTCCATTTATTTTTAGACCTGTAATTTTGTCTGCCTGTTTATTGATTGTTCTTTGTGGAAAAAGTTGAAAACTTTTCTCGTCTCATTGCTGATATGATCATGATGTTCCCGCTCTCTGTAAGAAACAATAATCTTGTTTTAGTTATTAGTTCAGGTGATAAAATAATTTTCATTTTAATAACAATCAAATGATCTTGTCCACCTGCTGATCTTGTCAATACAGGCCTACAGAATGGTTGTGGTGTGTGTTGGGGGGGGGGGGGGGGTCTGTCCTCCTAACTTTTTTTCTGAGAATAGTATTTGGCTATAGAGTAAATTTTCATTAAGATGTCAGTTGCACCCCCCCCCCCCTTTTTTTTTTTACTAGAGGTCTGCATCAATAAACTTGTTACATGTATATGGGCAGTTAGTGATTTCACATACCTAAACCTGTTGGCTTTATTTCAAACATGAAATGTTTAATAAGTTTAACTATGAAACATACAAGTTGTATGTCCCTATGATACTATAAATAAACAATAATTAAGTATGTTTGTATTTATGTATAATTCATAATATTTAATGTCAAACCTAATATACCAGTTAGTATTCATCAAACAGTTACAATTCTTGCATATGGTTAGTGATGGGAAATTGGATTTTTTTCATAATTGATTATTGGAATAATGGGATGCACTATAATCAAAAAAAAAATTGATTAATTTCAAATATTATATTTCTTCAATTTCAAATGTAGAATAAATTGTTTAGAAATTCTGGAGTGATTTCCAAAATACATTTTTGAAATAGTTTGTATCATTGGGTTCATTTATTAGATTATTATTTAGGATTTAGTTAAATTCAAAGAAGAATGAATCAAAAATTAAAGGAATAATTTGCTTTTAACTAATATTTTGAGTAATCGATTATCTATAATTGGGGACCATTTCGATTAGATAATTGATTTAATCGATTAATCATTACATCACTACATATGGTACTTTCAACTTTATCTAAAACTTGTCATGGGTATCAACTATGATATACATGTATTTGTCTAAAAGTGACACATAGGTCTAACTGACTGATTACATGTATTTTTATGTTTTTCTTCATACTGTAATATATCACTACATGTATAAAATACAATTTACTTGCTTACTAATTGTGAAATCTAGCCAATTATCAAAGAAAATAATCTAGTAAGTAAAGCCAAGAAAAATGATTGGTTAAACCTGCTTTGTTTCCACTTTTATCATGTTCATGCTGGAAAAATTTAGAGTACTGGTAGGTACTGGTAGGCATATTTTTAATTTTTTTTTTTTTTTTGCGTGGACTTTTTTAAATAAACAACCAAGTAACACTGATGTCCAGTCTATGCGAAAGTTTTTTGGACCACACAGGACATTGGGTCCTGCGTAATCAATGAACACACAGGACCGAATCAATTTTTGTTGGACCAAAAAACCTAATGTAAAAAAGTGAAACACGTGAAAATGCAGAGTAGTAAGCCTAACACCTTTTCTTTTACAAGGTATTGCTCCCGCATAGTACTGTAGATGGTTCATAGGGTTTTAATCACCTTCATTAACGTATTTGGATTTGTGAGAAATTTTTTACTTATAACAAACATTTACATGACTCCCCATCAAAATAACAATGCTCAAAACTGGACATAGACACATCGGACATTCTGGTATGGTGTAAAAAATGACGCATCGGACCAGAGGCACTGCACATCGGTCAGGTCTGATGGTCCGATGTCTTTTGCATAGACTGGAAGTCAAAGAAATAGTGTTTTATTTATGGTGGAAATTTTTTATACATGCTATTATTGGGGAATTTAAAATGAATATTCATATTTTTCTTGAAAAAGCATTTTAAAAAAATTAGGGTCAGCTACAAAATAGGGTCGGTTCACTGGGTTGTGAAAGTGGAAACAATTTTGCCTAACAACACCACAGCCTAACATTTTGACAAATGTAAATGTACCTTAATGATAGCTGATGATCCATAAGTTAGGATATTCACAGCATGAAAGAGCTGCTGAAATGGCATGGACATTTTAGAGCATCTGTCATATCACCCCCAGTTCCATAACCCTCCTTCCAAGTTTCCAGATAGCAGATATTAAGGGTTCCAGATCCTGTTCCATCTCAACTTCATGTTCAATGTCCACAATATTAGGGATACCTATTCAAATAATATACATGTACTACTAAATCTATATAGCTGAGATTTCTTCCCTATCACTGCATATATGTAAATGTAGATGCAGTACATACAAAATGAGTGTTTTATTTTATTTTCATATTGTGTGGTGTACATGATTATGATTGAGTTTCACATACTCTATAATATGTATTGATGCTTTTAGCTTTCATGAACTCAAAAGAAAATTCAATTAAAAAAAATGATTATAGTCAAAATTGCAATTCAGACACTCCACCATCAACATAACTTGGAAATAAATAAGGAAAGAAATAATCTTAATAAAAAGAAAAGTCCTGTTTTAGGCCAAAGAATTTAGTGGTAAGTATTATTTTGTGTTGTAGTGTAGTGAATTTTTTATCTAGTATGTTTTGGAAGAAAATATTGTCTAGACAGTGTCCAACACCTTGCATCTGGTTACCTTCAAATTTCATTGAGTTATAACTGTGTCTCATATGACTTGACATTTATAATAAATTATTGTTTCTTTTAATATATTTTCTATGTTTGCTAAATTTAAAAGCATCAATACATACATGTAGACATGATAGAGTACATGAAACTCGAAACGTTTTTCCAAAATCAAGCGCACCTGAATAACATCAATAATTTTTTGAATTTTTATTGATTCACCAACATTCTGGAATGCAATCATGTCACACAATATAAAAATAAATTACAAAACAGAATTGTATATATATATCATGTAAATTACCCCCTCATGTGTGCACTGGTAACCAGTGCTATTGTTTTTATTATAATATAGTGTAGTGCTCTTCATCCCTTTTTCAAATCTATATTGTAAACAACAACTAAGGAAGAATATAACAACTTTTAATCTCAAAATCTCTGTTTTTTTTTTTGTTTTTTTTTTAAAAACTTTAACATGAATCGTCACTAATTTATAATGTTGTGTGTTCACTCATGCCCCCAATTCAGAAAAAAGTACCCAGTTCACTCATATATATATATATATATATATATATACATATACATATATATATATATATATATATATATATATATATATATATATATATATATATATATATATATATGTATCTTATCTAATACCGGTATTTTGCTGAGCCACAATCACTTTTACTGAATTTCTGAGGTAATGTTAGTTAAATGGTGTCAAATACTAGAGACAAACCTGGGCAGATCGTTTTTGCTAGGCTAGAGTTGTCATGCGTTTGTGATTCGAATGATGGGTTTAATCTTTGCAAAGTAATTTTCAGTCAGACGCAGCTCACCATCGCCTTTTTTTGAGTCAACGAAGCCTTGCTGTACCGCTGAATAGATTTGGTTGATGAAAATCCTCGTTTTCTCCGCATTTCATTCTTTTCGAAACATCCGCTTTGTTTACATTACCGAAAAGTAAGATAAGTCGTAAAATTACCTCGACTTGTTGTTAGTTTGAATCCAATGAAATTTTAGTCACATTTTATATGATTTTATATCAAGTATATCTTTAAAATAAGTTGCATTGTAAATTTTTTTCCCAACTCTACTAAAGAGATGAACGACATACGATTCATTTACGTCATTCGGAGTTGCGCGGTGGATTCAAAATCGTCACTACCATACGTCCTTAAAATTATTATTATCTGTGTTTTATTAGATAGAGTTCTATATATATATATATATATATATATATATATATATATATATATATATATATATATATATATATATATATATATATATATATATATATATATTCTTTTAAAGTTTAAATTGAAAATTTAGGAGAAACTGATTAAAACATTTTATTTAAGAAAACAATAAGAAATTGAGATAAGGAACAGTATTCAAGCCCATAGTCCATTTAAACAATATAAATCGGGAGCAGAGCAAACACAGAACTCCAAAAACATCAGAGGCGGGATCAGGTGCCATGGAAGAGTAAGGATCCCCTGCCGACCGGTCACACCCGCCGTGTGCTCCTTGCCATGATCGGGTAAACGGAAATATCCGTAAAAATTTCAGTGTGTAAATAATTGTCAACAATTAATATGAAAACGTCAGTCAGCATTGGACCTAATGATAGATTGTATTTGATGATAAGGTCATTGTATCGGTCATAGAACTTGCGAAATGATAGCTTCAAACGAGATTGTTGATTTCCTTGTTTCATCAACTTGTTGGTTAATAGCTTGCCTCATTTTAAAATTTCATCGTACGTAGAACATGCTCTTTCGTATTGAATCAACTGGGAGACATAAATCCCATATGCAGGGGATAAGGGTATATTGCTACATAAGTAAGGGAATGTTGGTAGGTTACCATTAACGTCTTTTTCTGGAAAAATATCCAAGTCCAAGTATGAAACAGATTAGTCAGACTCTGTGGTTTCTTTTATTTAAGGTTCACTGGGATATATCGAATCGACATACATGTATGAATGGAAGCAACTATTATTAATCGTTAATACGTCGTCGATGTATTTAAATGTCGAGTTGAAGGCCACAACAAGCGTTTTCTTCTTCTCGTGTAAAAATTTTTGAATAAAAATACAAAAATAGTTCTGCAGTTGGTACCCATGGGAATTCCAACAGATTGTTGGAAGACCTGATCTCCAAAAACTACATAGATGTTGTCAGTCAGAAACTCAAGCATCTTTTTAATATCAACTTTAGAGTACTTGTGTGTACATTCAGAATGTTTTTTTAACAAAATAATTTTGATGACCAATGATAAGGTAAATACATTTAATACTTCCATTTTTATTAGTCCCCTACCGGTGAAACCGGAGGGGACTTTAGGTTTCCTCTGAGTCTGTCCGTCCGTCTGTCGGTCTAGCTATCTGACTGTCTGTCCGTCTGTCTGTCTGTCCCTCTGTCTGTCTGTCAGTCTGTCCCACCTGTTTTTCCGCACATTTTTTTCTAAACGCTTGCAGATATTGATCTGATTTTTGGCATGTGGGCGTATCTTGATAAGTTACAGATCAAGTTTGCATTTCGTTCCGCTTAAGTGCTTTTTGAAGGAATTACGACCTTTTCAATTCGTCAGGGTTTTCCGCATTCTTTTTCTAAACGCTTGCAGATATTGAGCTGATTTTTGGTATGTGACTTTACCTTGATGAGTTATAGACCACGTTTGCATTTCGTTCCGCTTCATTAATTTTTGACGGAATTATGGCATTTTCAATTTTTAACGGGAACCAGATTACACTTGTCGGTAGGGGACTAGTATTGCTAATGCAATACTCTCAGAATGCTTGTTGAAAAAGCAGCTTTCTATGATGTCAAAAAGCCTGGGCTTTAATTTATTTAAATATCTTAATGTAAAACATTATGAAGATATTTGTATATTTATGAATAAAAAACTGTATCAATCGTTGGCGAACGGTTCCAAAGTGTCCGTATGTACAGGATTAGGAGTTTCAAATAGAATTTTAAAGAAAATAGCACACAGTAGTTTATATCAATACCATTTTTGTGCAAAATATAGAGCGTGACTATTCACATATTTTTTGTTTGGCTATGTATCTGGAGGTCCCACCCTTAAAATCGTCATAAAAACGTCACTTCACCGTCTAAATAAGTTTTTGTAAGGGTGATTGATTTTGACTTAAAAGAATTAAGGTATTGATTGTTATAAAAAAAAACTCTTTTTCAGTTTTATTTCAAAGCTTCTCTGAGCGCATTCTCCTTGGTTGGTATCGATGATGTCAAGATACAATATTGAAGGTTAGTAGGACTTTGTTTTACACCCACTAGGCATGTTCCCCATTTTATTTAAATATTTCTAGGCAAAGACAGATTTAAAACTTAGGATTGGATTCTGGATGCTATGTTCATTTCACAAATTTATTTGTTTTTTTTCTTTTTGATGACACCATAAACTGTCAGATTGGATTAATGTAAGAAATGCTTCTTGATGTATCCAATTCAATCAAAATCAAACTAAAATTTTAAAGTCTTGAAAAGGTTTAATGTTACTTAGAAAAATTCAGTACATGAATAAACATATTTACGTAAAGTTTTATTAATATTGCTGTTGTTTGTACGCTGTATAGTATATTGTTGCAAACCATAAGGTGTAATACGATCCACTGTCAATATAATATCTAATAGGTCAAGAACACTGGGCTTTGGCATTGTGAAATTGTCTTTGAGCAGAAACAAGACCCCCTTTATTTGAATTGAACTTTAGTATGTTGTTACCGAAATTGATAATTGATATAGTCATGTCAATAGGTAGTGATATTTTGAAAATGTGTCAAGTCATCACTCTTGTGTCCTTGATTGCAGTGAATACAACCTTTTGTATGTTATTGGCGATCTCTGTTGTATCTAAAAATATCAACTCAAGGTCTTATGTCAAAGATTACAAAGAAATGGAATTATGAAATGATGGCAGGAACAAAACTCATTGATGGTTTACTCAGTTAACTTACATCAATTAAAATTGATGTCAGATTACTAATTATACCATCAATAACACTTTCTTAGCTAGGTGCCATTAGAATGTCATAAGGTCATGGCCAAATTCATATTAGGGGAAGAGGAGACACCTGTATTCCTTAAGAAAATAACATAAAGTTTGTATTGACTTCATCATGAAAATCAATCTTAAGGTTCATAGATACTCGCATAAGAGAGATTAATCTTAATGACATAAATATCTATTATTCCTTTATAAATTTGTCAAGTTGAAGTGTCTTTTTTGTCCAATTTTGCCCCGCAAGCTATGCCATGCTTGTTTGTATTTTACTTAACTAATACATTTCTTTTGGAAAATCATTAAAGAAACATTTTATACGAGTGAGCAGATAGTTTATGAACCTTAATTGTGAAATTGACCCATATTCATATTATGTGTTTTCGAATCTCTTTGTCCGAGATTAAACTACAAATAAAAAAAAATAACTTTGTATCTCTATAAAGCAATATAAATCATGTGACTGAACTGCGGTTCATCGTATGACTGAACTGCGGATGTGTGTAGCTTAGTAATACACTAGGCGAGGCTTATAGTTTTAGATTTCTTATTATTGAATAAAATGATATTAATATCATATTTGTTTTATTGATACTAGGATCAGGTAAAAAATTCTTCAATATAAGAAATAACTGTCTTGTTTTTTTTTATGATGACAATCAAGCATTTGATTTTATGCTTAAATGCCTTCCGTGTTTTAGCAATGAAACACGTGAACAAATTTTTTGATCACAATAAAGACAGTTTTTTTTTAAAAAAAAAAATATATGTGCATCTAGTCAAAAAAAGATCATGAATTGTACAACTTTTATTTTTTTACAGGTGACATTTGGACAGAAATCCTGGCATAGAAAAGGGATGTAAAGAAATGCAATAACACTATAAGGCTTACTAACTTAAGAATTAAGAATCATTTGTAAATATTTATCCAGATCTTTAATTCCAATAAAATATGTTTGTTCATCTGCAACTATTTGTATTTTTTGTAATTTTACAGATTTGCATTTAAGAAAAAAAGGGGGGCTTAAATATTGAGTGAATAGCTGCCATACTTTTTCGTAATATAAAACAATGCATTCTTACCTGGTTATGAAGAATATAGGAAACCTTACTCATACTCGAAAATACCAATCGGAGAGTTATGTTTCAACCTGTGTATTTCTTTGACCTTTTTCCTGAGAGAATCAAAAGTTTTTATTCCACCTCTTCTATAAATAACAAATACATGTATCTGTTTACATATACCTTCCTGTAATTCAATAAGCTTTTAATATTTTAAAAAATTGTACAGCACAAATGTCATCATCTGTTTGATTTATTGTTTATTGATTGTCATACTTATTAAATAAATTCTATTTCAATGGAGTGAGACATACTCGTTTTCGGCCTGGTGATCTAACTATATCTGCCTGTCAAAAATCGTTCTCGGACCATAACCGCCGAACTTTGATTAGAATGAAACTCTAGTATATTTTTTGCACATGACAAAAAGGGTAATAGGATCGAAAGTCAATTTGATGTATATAATATCAAGTACACTTGCTTTCATATTGAAAATTTGTAACAGGGCATAAGCCTGATATCCTTTATTATAATGGTTGGAACTTTAATACAGTGTGTGTTATTGCCCAAGTAAGGACACATGTTCCGAACAAAAGTATAGATGCATGGATTGGTATCTAAATATATTTTTGGACTTATTGTTGTTGTAAATGATGCATATACCAAATCTCTAAAATATTAAGAAATTTTAGACTTTCTACAATGCTCAAATTTGATCGTTTTGCCATCAGCCTTATAAATATTAGTATGTATACAATTTTTTTATCACGTTATAGGACATTATTTAGAAACTAAGAATAAAAACGTTGTATTGCTTGTGCATCTGCATTGCGTCTAAACTTATTCATTTTACTTATATAAACACAGATTTACTTGGTATGTTCATGAATTGTTTAAAGCTTCTCATCTGTCCTTGAATATGTTTTTAAAGATATTGGGTCGATATGATAACAGCAAAGTCAAGATTATCTGGCTTTGAGATGGTGAAAATGTGTCTCAACTTCAAAGACATGCTAGAGGAAGCAGAGACCTCCGTTATAGTTTGAAAAATTATTTTAAAAAAGTTTTATTGACTTCATCACTAAATTAAATTGACAATTTTTTATGTTAAATTAATATATTTTAATAAACATCAAAGCAAACAAATTAATGGACAATTTTTACTACTTTTACAGAGAAAACATTGACATCGGAAACAAACGTGAAAAAAAGGCATTAGCACTATGAGGTTTACAAGAGAATTCAGAATCTATTGTAAATAGTTATCTAGATCTATACTTACAATAAGATATATTGCTTTGAACATCTGTTAATATTGATCATTTAGTTTTTCAATATCACAGATCTGCATTTTTGAAAAGAATAAAAACAATAGCAAAACACTTCTTAGGTACCACTTACAAATTGATCAGTGAATGCTGACTACTTTTTGAGAATTGTATACCTGATCAAGAACAATAAGAAACACTTTATAAAGCTGTGCAATTTAATTTTCGTAAACAAAATTGATAAGAAATAATTACAACAAAATAAAAAAAATCAATTTGTAAAATAATTTCAAGTGAATATGAAAACCGTAAACTGATTTTAAATTATACTGTATATGATATGCAGAAGATTATTCAAATTATCATAAATCGATATAATGACATTTTTCACAAATCTTTTATGATTATGAAAAAAAGTGAAAATAACGAACAGTCATCGGTCTAAAAAAATCTATAAACAATACAAATCTTTACACTAAGCAATAAACACGGACCCCCAGAAATGCCAGAACTGGGATCTATCATTAATCAATCATTAAGTCATATGCTGTCATTAATCTATCATTAAGTCATATGCTGACTGACGTTTTTCATACCAATTGTAAGGTCATTATTTGTTGACGGATTTTTTTCCGTTGTTACCCGATAATGACAAGAAGCATACGGCGGGTGTGACCGGTCGGCAGGGGATGCTCACTCCACCATAGCACCTGATTCCACCTTTGATGTTTTTGGAGGTCCGTGTTTGCTCTGCTCCCAATTTGTATTGTTTTAACGAACGTTGAGCTTGAATACTGTTCGTTATCTCCATATTTCATCTGGTGCCTAGGAGGAGTAAGCATTCCCTGTTGACCGGTGTCGCATAATATTTGGTCCGCCTCGTTTAAAGGTCGGGGGGGGGGGGGGCTGATACGATAACATATAAGGTCCGACCTGCCTCTATTTTAAAAGGTCCGCCTTCGGTTTAATATGCAAATTTTTCTCCTTTATTGATTCGAAATTATTTGTTCAATTAATCTTTTTTAAATTATTCAAGGTATAGTCTTTATAATAGTGTCTCTCCCAGCAAAATGTAGTTCCAGGGACGTACATGTAATAATATGTTTATTCACCAATCAAGGGCCCTCAAAGGGCTTGTACAATTAAAAACAATACAATCATGATTATAACAAGTAATGACTGCATTGGGTGCAGTATTGACCTGATCCTCACTTACAAGTGTTCTCAACGAACAATTGAAGTATGGTTCAATGACTTATTGAATTACAGGAAGGTATAGGTAACCATCACATGCAATATAAAGGAAAACCAAACTGCTATGCATTTCAATGAACAGACTAGGTTAAGAAGCAGTAATTACAGTAAGTAAGTAATCATAAAATTACTGTCAGAATATAAGTATAACAAAGCAGATCAGTTTGTGGCTCTAAAAATTATATATGGCGAAGTGGAGAATATATATATACAGTATATATATATATATATATATATATATATATATATATATATATATATATATATATATATATATATATATATATATATATATTGCTGGCCCGGAAGCATAGGTTAAAAAGGGATGATGCCTATTGAACAGTCTGACAATATGTATTTCGGAAGAACCAGCTTGCTCGGTCTTGTACCCAAAGCAACCAAAACAGCTTACAGAAGGAAAACTTAACTTGTTGGCCTTGGGCACCAAGGGACGGTGCCTTTTGAACAGTCTGATGGCATGGACTGTTAGTTTTGTACCCAAGGTAGCCAAGACAGCTTAAGAGTATAAAAGATCCTAGTATATAACTTGAAATGTATTGCATAATATTTACATTTTCCAATGCCTTTCTCTGAGATAAAACTACAAATAAAGTAATGGCTTTATAACCCCATAAAGCGATTTGCTCAGCACCTGACAGAACGGCATGCGTTTTCGCTGCGTGTTGCTTAGTAATATACCTGGCCGGGATGCTGAGATTTCTTATTATAGTTTTTTTTTATTTAATCAAGGATCAGGTAAAAATGGAAATATAAGGAATAACCGTCTGGTTTTTTGGTTTTATGATGATGAACAATCAATATGCTCGCGTGTTAATTTTACGCATAAACACCTTCGGCATTTATGCAAATTTTCAAGCGAGCAAATTGATTGATCACATCATAAAACCAAAAAAAAGATTTTTTATGTAGTTAAGGAATCCAGTTTAGGTATGTAATTCAAATTCAATTAGTTTGTTGGGAGTATAACAAAATTAAAACTGACAAACTATTTTGAAGATTTCCATCTTGGAAAGGGAAACTATGAGTATAAGTTGGATTACCATGTGATGTGAAATTAAGTTTGATGAGGACTTCATTATAATTGCGAAATTCATTCAGTTGTCTATCAAAAAAGTTTAGGTTCACTGTATAATAACATTCATGACAATCAAACTGGGCCCTGATCCCCGGACCCGTGGAACATAAATTTCACAAGTTTTACAAAGGTTAAGCTGCTCATTTAAACCATGCACGCAATCTGACGCGATATTTCAACGAGTAATGAAGAAGATTTTCAAAGAAGTATTTTTAAGATATGACCAACTTAGAGCCACTCCGTAGTCTACAACAAGGACGAAGAGGCCATGAATTTGTATATATATTTTAAAAAATAATTTCGGTTAAAATTTCATTACTCACTGACCGTTCACGGTAGCTCAGTCGGTAGAGCGCTTGCTAAGTGATCGGGAGGTCGTGAGTTCGACCTAAGTCGATAAAAAGGGTAGCAACTGTTCCTTCGCCATGCGCTCGGCACTTTGAAGTGAAAGTTGCGGGTCCTTCGGATGAGACCTGAAAAACCAAGGCCCCGTGTCACGGCAGGCGTTGGCACGATAAAGATCCCTCACTGCTCAATGGCCCTGAGTGCAGAGTAAAGGTCAAAATTTGAAGCCCTTCACCGGTATATGGTAACGTCTCTATATGAGTGAAAAATTCTCGAATTGGACGTAAAACAACATACAATCAATCAATTATTACTAACTGTAGTTGTGCTAATAGATTGTCTGCTAAAAGTCCATAAAATCTGGAGATTTTCAAAGGTGTGATGTTTTTTTAAACTTAACCCTGCTCAGGATCCTGAATCTAGCGCCCAATAAAGGGCCATGCTTTTCAAAATAACGGTAGAATTAATTGTATTATAATCATAATAGGAGTTTCCTCTCGAACTGCCAATGGAGTAGAAAGAAGTCAAAAATTTTTCTTTGTATATTTTATTTTAAGCCCTTATCTTAAGCCTGATTCGTTGATCCAGAAGACATGAACTGCAGAATTCGGTTAAGATTGAGAGGTGAAATGTATGGAAATATCGAACAGAATTCAAGCTCAAAAGTCCATTAAACAATACAAATTTTGGAGCAGAGCAAACACGGACCTCCAATACATCAGAGGTGGGATCAGGTGCCATGGAGGAGTGAGCATCCCTTGCCGACTAGTCACACCTGACTCATTTTATCAATGTAGTTTGGCTGCTTGATATCCATTAGTAAAGATCTTATAACTAAAGATATACTCTATAAGCAATTATAATATTTGATCAACAAAGTCCCATCCTGAAATTCGAACGCTGAACTCAGGGCCATGGATCTTAAAATTGGTAAATGATTCTTGATAATTATATTCCCTGCTTTAGAATCAGGAGTAGAGAAGAATTTTAAAGATGGCATTAATGTTGATGCTTTTGGTCCAACTTTTCAGGCCCTGATTAGGCAGAGGCAAAGAAATTCGCAATATCTGTTCCCCTTTACCCAAAAATGCTATATATTTCAAACTTGGTTTAAATTTGTTCAGCCGTTCCAGAGAAGAGGCGCTGGCGATTTTCGAGCAACATAGCGAATGGTTTCAGCGTTGCAAATGATATATTTTCTAATATATTGCTGTATCAAAATTGGTACACTAATACCTATCAACCTCTGATTTTATACATAAAATATGATTATATATATATAGGGTCCAAATTTTAATGCACATTTAAACACTTTGTGAGTGAATTAATTAATTAGTTAAGTAATATCAATATGAATCTACATCGAATTTTCTCAATTTTTCTCGATATTATTCATATGACAATCTACTGAGATAGACATTTACCGGACAATTACAATATTGCAGACAAGAAACTTTCAAAAGAGCTTAGCATCACCTATTTCCACAATGTCTTGCCGGAGGCATGGTTGTGACATAAAACATATTTTGTCCTTTCTACTCATTTAGAATATACAGTTTAAATAATATTTCATTAACATTACATTCAGTACAAGTTATTGCTAATTTGCTTACTTTATATAATACTTTATATAATAGCAAATAGAAAAGGTTTTGGAAAATTAAAATGAACAATTTATATATACATACATGTAATCTTGAAATATGCCAGCTTGCAATGCATTAAACATGTGTGTAGCTTTCTTCAAAGAAAAGACAAACAAAAATAAAATCTTCTCAAAAGCTTGTTTTGTATATGACTGTCCATACTATTCGGATGTGCCATGTTTTTATATTACAATTTCGAAATCTAGGGGTGTACAAAGGGGTTAGTTCTAATCAGCATTAATCAGTTGCACCTAGGCGTACGTGCAGTAGTTCTTTGTTAAGGTTGAAAGTTTCTTGCATTTTCAAGATCCTACATAGGTAAAATTTTCATTAAATATTGCATTATATCATTTTTGATTAATCTATGAATTTTATTTGGAATAACATCCTGTTAGATAATTATAAAATAATTTGGCCTTGAAGTAGAATAGAAAAACTTATCAAAGACAGACACAGAGAAAATATTTTTGCAACAATTAAAATGAGCAAGATATCAAAAGAAAAAAAAATATTTGCAGGGTAAAACCTTTGTGAAATATGGCCATGAAGCGTGAAATAGGGTCAAGGAAGTATAAATACCATCTGGGGAAAAAAAAACACCCGTCAGATTCAGATAGTTCTGTCAGTCAGCATGAAGAGGTTGATAATTTTGATCTCTGTCGTCTGCGCGGTGCAGATGGTGACAGCGATGTTCGATGCTAAAAAGGTATGCTTATCTGTTCATAAATCTTTTAAAACAAATTATCAGAATGCACCGTTTCAATTTTTTCAGTACAATAATCCTTTTTAATGTGTTTATTTGAACAGTACTAGTTTTTATTTATTTATTTTTGAAAGTTATATGGTATATATACTGAATGAAATTCCCTGAAACAAAGCATTTTGCAGACAACTGCAGAATTTTTGTATTTTCCCAGTAGATAATGGCCGATGTTTTGTTAAACGTTTTCATTAATATTTCAAGCGATCGCATAAATTATCAAATATCTTTCATATTGCATGCATATGCATTTCCATTAGAAGAGAAAGGAAAATTCATATTTAAGTTTTCAAGAGTTTACCTAAATTCTGTAAAGCTTAACCTGAAAATTTATAATTAAGTTTACAGGCGTTTACCTAGATTCTGTAAAGCTTAACTTGAAAATTCATATTTAAGTTTTCAGGAGTTTACTTAGATTCTGTAAAGCTTAACCTGAAAATTCAAAGCTACAGCATTACCCTGTTTTCTAATTTTGATTCCGCTAAAATCTGCCAAATAATTTTCTTGAATTTTTCTTTATTTAAACTTTTAACTTTTATTTTAACTTTTTCTTAATGGCTACAAGATACACAGTTTCATATTAAGTAATTATGAGTATTTGGGAAAAGAGTAACTCTTTTTATAAAGTAAATATGAGTATTTGGGAAAATTCAAAGACTTTTCTGGAAGGTGGGAACCCGAACAGGAGTCCCTTTTCAATGAAATATATGCTGAGATTAGGGAAATGGAAAAAAAATAAGTATCCTCAGGATTAAAATATCTACTTTTAATATCAAGTTCACATAGGTAAAGACAATTATCGTCATAAGAGTAAATTTCAATACAGTAAAAAAACTACTTTCTTATAATTCTTTCGGAGATTCTCATGTGTAACATTTAAATGAAATAAATATACTTTTTCCTTTCTAAAAAGTGTTTATAATTAAAATTTTAGCTTGTGTGCTCTATTTACATAAACATGTAAAAAGAAGTAGTAATACTTAATCGCATCTAAATACTGCAGAAGCCTAGAGTTGAACCTTTATAATAAAAGTACAGAAATAAATGAAAAATGTTTTCTTTAAGTAAGTTTGATTTTTTTTTTTATAAAGATGAAATGAGTGGGTGCTCAACCTCTTTTAAAACAAACATTCGTCGCGAAATAATCCATCATTTTTTCTACTTCAATAATCAACTCGAGTTACAATAAATATTACATCTGCATATATTTAGGTTGATTAAAATATGATTCTAGTTTTATAAATTAGCTTTATGAATAAATGATTAATTGAGATTCTTGTTGATATATAACGAGGCCGAGTCTAATTCCAGTGCGCATGACTTTGCGCAGCTTTTTAGTTTCATGCAGTCGTATCTGCAACACGACACCTATCCAAGTATTGTAGTTGTAATACAAAATTAACATTATCTGTAACGTTTATGGGTCTTAAAATGTGCTTTTAAGACAATATTTAGGAATAAATGCTGAAATGGCTTTCACGACGTCACTGTTTTCCAGTTCTGTAAGCAATGCATGACGCTGAAGAATGACGCTTGACTCGCTTGAGTATTCAAGACGTCCATGGACATTTTATTAAACACTGTTGACAGAACATCAAAAGAAACATACCAGCAATCTAAATATTGTTATTTTTTACCAAAATAATTCATCTGCGCCAATATTTACAAAATTTATGCCGCAATATTGCAAATTTAGAGGTATTGGGCATTGGGAAAAATAAACTTTGTAAGAATTCCTAGACCAAACCAGATGGTCCACTTTTTTGAAAGTTCACAATTTGGTGACTTTTTACAATAACTTTCATGTATTTGACTGAAAACGAATTTCTCTAGGGTAGAAATACAAAAAAATATGGGGGAAATGTGATAATTTGGCGCTTTTCCAAAAAATTCCCATAGGGTCAAATAGTAAAATTTGACAACTTTTAAGATGGTCCTCTTAAAAACCGGGATGGTAAACATTTGATATTTTTATCTTAAAAAAAACTAATATAATAGTAAAAATTCATTCAAGAAAAATTATCAAAATATATAGGTTAGAAATAATTAGACTCGACCTCGTTAAAAACACCCCCCCCCCCTCGCTTACTCCTTCATTATTCAGCAATAATATAATAGAGCACTGGCACAAAAAGACTAGACCTGTTACATTATTATAATTTTTCTATTTTCTGTAAAAGTGAATATCTCCTAGAATTTTTCGCAAATGTTGGACAGTCTACAAGGGATTATCTCGGGCTCATTGAATTATTGATTGATTGATTGTATGTTGTTTTACGCCCAATTCGAGAATTTTTCACTCATATAGAGACGTCACCATATACCGGTGAAGGGCTTCAAATCTGGACCTTTACTCTGCACTCAGGGCCATTGATCAGTGAGGGATCTTTATATTGCCAACGCCTGCCGTGACACGGGACCTTGGTTTTTCAGGTCTCATCCGAAGGACCCGCAACTTTCACTTCAAAGTGCCGAGCGCATGGCGAAGGAACAGTTGCTACCCATTTTTTATCGACTTAGGTCAGGTCGCGGCCGAGATTTGAACTCACAACCTCCCGATCAGCTACCGTGAACGGTCGCATTGAATTATACTTTATCTGTTTGAATATACAAACTATAACCAAGTCAATCAGTTCTCTGACATTGCAGCCTATCATTCTCCGAAATCTCAGTTGACAGTTTGAAAATCATCTGAAAATTTAATAATTTCATTGTCATGAGAGAGAGAGAGAGAGAGAGAGAGAGAGAGAGAGAGAGAGAGAGATGCTCCAGTAATTTTATACACATTCTCTGAACTATTGAGACCTTTTCCTATTTTTAAGGGCATGGTAGTAGTCAAGGCATTTCTTCGAGGAAGATTAGGATTTTAAAATATACATTGTGTACGATCAACTTATAAAAACAACTTACTTATACCAGCGGGCCTAAATCCATGATCCAAAAATATAAAAGCAACAATTTTCGAAGCAGTTTCATCTTTTAATTGCTCAATTACTTTGCAAACGGTTTGTTTGCTAGATGATCAGGCCTAAAGGCTGATTTAATGGAATGAAATACTCTTAGAAGCTCTTATACATGTAGGTCAGTTTGGATAAATTTCACAATAATTGAATTTACAAAAAAAGAGTTCGAAATAAATTAAATCATTAAGAAAGAATAATGTCACATTTTAATAAATATTTACTTTGCATTCTTCGTTTCTTTTGTTCATACATACCTGTAAACAGTATATAGAAAAGCGTAACAAAACGAATTTTGGGATAAAATTGTTATCAAACTTTTATCATAGAAAGGTTATTTGAATACAAGAAATGCGTTGCACAACGCGCAAGAATTTGTTCTTGTTATTGTAAATGCTTAAACATTTTGTGACAGCTTCAGTATTTTTACAGGGTGCAGAAGAAAAACATTGGATAAGAGAGAAAAAATATTGAAGCTAGTATATAGCATATTATATTACTCACATTTAAGGAAATGTACTTTGAAATATAAAGTTATTAAAATGATCGGATTCATTACTATTAATCCTTTCTATTTTAGCTTAAGCTTCTTAAGAAAAATTATCCTTCAGATGCTAGCAAGACTACCAGTGAAGATGGAATATCATTCGAACTAGCGCTACAAGAGGTGAAAATATAGTTGAAGAGAGCTATTATTGTAATAATCGATTTTGATTTAAACTAATGCAATAATTCTTCATACAAATAAGTGATTAAGAAGATTAAGAAGAAATGTCGTTCTTTCATATATTAAATTTGGTACCAAAAATCGAGAATTATGGGAAGCACGAGTGTTCAATCTGATATGAAACACACTATACCAGCACTGGGATTGAATTCGGTCAATTCCATAATAAATTATTGTCGAACACCAACAAATGCAAAATAAGAGATAGCTGATTCCGTCCGTACATTTTAGTAAAAAAGTCACAGCAGTTCAATATCTCATCGAAAGCTCGCACATCTCATCCAGCAGTTCAACATTGATTTTTATTTTGGACCGCTTAGTAAAATATTGAAAATGTAAAAAACTTTTAAGTATACATATTTATACAGGAAACATTTCAATAGTGTAACAATATATGTGCATTGTTATCTAATATCGTTCCTCATTCCATTCCAATAAGTAATTGAAGAAGTTTTACTATCATGTTAACAGGGTGAGAAAAAAGAATTGAACAGGCGAGGAAACTCAGCAAGTTTTATGGATGGCAGGACAATCAACTCAGCGGATATGTCTCCGGCGGTATGAATAAGACGCAGCGTCTTCATGTGTTGAAATCTCAAACATGAATATAAAATATAATAATAATATAAATGTACTAATAAAATAAAACATTTCTACCTATTGATAATCCACACAGGTGCTCGGGGACGGGATCCCCCCCTTCCGTACCCCAAGGGTTCTTTGACTATTTAAAATAAAATATATTTCTATGACACATTCACAAAGTATTACAACTGAAAAATCCAAACTAAGACCTAAAACTAGCCTTTTAAAATTTCACACTCTCTGATACTAAAAGTTCTCTTTTTAGTTTTAGGTTATACCCGGTATTTTGGATTTTTCAGTTGTAACACTTTGTGAATGTGTCATAGAAAAATATTTTATTTGAAAAATTTAAAAAAAAAACCTTGGGATACGGAACACGGGGGGGGGGGGGAGGGGAGGGGGTTACCCATCCCCAAGCACTTGTGATAATCTACTCGTTCAAAGTTAAAAACAGATTGGTAAAAACAAAACGTCTTAATTTGTTTTACGAATGCAAACTGGATATTGGTCACGACAATTTTTTTTAATTTTGCGAATGAAAGATTCCTTTGTCACGATACTTTATGTCTAAATATCTGTGCAGCATGTATCGCTGGAGAAGAAAGCATTATCTACAGATGCGCAGGCGTTTTTAAATGCTCACAACGAGAAAAGGCGCATCGTCAACCCCACTGCAACAAACATGAAAGAAATGGTGAGAAAAAGACCATAATTCCTTTTCTTGAATGACAGTTTGGTATTGGATACTTCATGTAGCCAGTGTCATATGCTTGACTTAATATTGTTGAAACATCCAGTCATGAAAATGTTAATGTTAGAATAACTTCGTACTTTAAAAATTAAGCAACGTATTACTCATATCAAGTTTATCTGACGTAGACTTAATGTTGGTTAAAATGCAACATTGCATTCTGTAGCACCAAATCGCTACAATATTACTCAGCCTTTACATGTATACTGAGTATAAATGCAGCTGTTTGTGTGAAACTTAGTTTAAGTTTGACGCTGTGTAGACATCATTGTCGCTGACCACGGCCAAAATGTAGGGATTTCTCCTATTCTGGTTGGTAGGAGAAAGCTACATGTACATGCCTACCCCGATTACTGTCTATTGAGACGATGAGTTGTCATAAACATTTCAATTTTATTCATAATCACTTAGTATCTTAAGAAGTTAGAATAACATATGAAGATAAAACCTGGAATTGAACAACTGTTTTTATTTCTAAAAGCATTAACTGACATAATGAATAATAATTTGACAGGTTTGGAGCAAAGATCTTGAACACCTCGCCAGGAACTATGCCAAAAAATGCAAGTTTGAGCATAATAAACATAGATCCGAAGGCATGCCTTATTATGTCGGCGAGAATCTGTATGTTAGCTCAGGTATGTGTTAGAATATAAACATATAAAGAAACGTACTGTTAAAACGAGTAAATGCTGTCACAGAAAGTGCATAAACTGTATACTCTGAGAGGGTTCTTAAACTGTGAATTCATGTAAATTAATGGTAAGATGTAACAAGCTGAAAGTGGAAATTCTTATTTTACATTTATGTGCTTCACCATAGCCATGATAATATCTTACACACCGTTAGGCTTGAGGTATCTTGGAACTATGATAATGAAGTATCAAAAAGTTAATCGCGGTACCAGTATAAAGCAAGCCAATATAGGTATGAATATAATGGATATTAGTGTATATACCTTTAAGATATAGGGGAAAGTGTCCTATCACAGGTGCTTGTGGACAGGACCCCCCCCCCCCCGGAATATACACCCTGGGTCCAAGGATATTTTTATTCGTCTTTTTTTTATATATATATTAATCTTCTAGTACACATACACAATGTATTCCATTAGAAAAATCAAAAAATAACGTAGAATTAACGTTTTATTAAAAAATCTTACCCGCGGTATTACTGATCTCAGCGAGATCCGTAGAGACTAAAAATTTTGGTCTGGTGTCTCTTCGGATCTCAGACCAGTGTCACATAATCTCATTCGGGGTTTCGTGCCCGGACTTCGACCGCTTATTTCGATTAAAACGAGCTGAAATGAATTAGCTGCCCTTAAAAACACTTAAAAAAGTGTTTACTAGGCGGTCCAAAAAATCGATGCTTGACCGCTGAGTGTGATATTCGACCTGTTGATGAGATATTTGACCGCTATGACGTCACACTATGTGGGTGGGATCAGCTATATCTTAACAATATTATCAAAAATGTACAGTATTTAATTGAAATGTTTGAATTATTGAACTATGTCAAGTGTATATGTTCAATAATTAATCATTTTCCTAGGCATGGAGTCATCATTTAGCATCAGATTTGCTGGATTATATTTTCAAGGTTTTTTTGTGTGTACCACTTGTAGACAAATTTACATCAATAAGAATTTATCTATAAGCTATATCTTTCATTGCAAGGCGCTCACTCAAGGAAATGACGTCCCAAACATACAAACCTAGTCTTCGAAATAGAGTAAAATTCACGAATGAAATGATTTCATAGTACTTAAAAAGGGTTACTTTTCGTGATTCTGTTGGCAATTTTGATAATGTTTCTGTTACTGGATCCAGAATTTTTGACATCTTAAAGATGCATCTACAAGTAAAATTAGAATTGGAGATTCAATATTGTCAACATTTCATTTGCATCGTATATAGTATCTTATAAATCATGCATATATTACGGCATAACAATGCTATTTTTCAATGTTATGTAACTAATAACTTTTACATGTATGACTTTGACCTTGTATTAAGGAGAAGACTTATATAGGCAGTGTCTGCTGTCCAATCCTTCTGTGATTATCGTTTAAGTAAGATAACAATGCTAAATGATTCTGTCCAGATACATGTATATAGATTAAAATACCTTGAGTAGTAGTTTAACCGAATTTTGTTTGATGGAAATCAATTGACTATTTCTACAAAACAAGACACGTTTCTGAAATTTGGCAGGGAATGTAGCACCTGGTGTGGCAGTAACGAGCTGGGATAATGAGAAGAACGACTACTCATTTAAACATAACAAGTGTGACCCAAACAGCGAGTATGGTTGTGGCCACTATACTCAGGTATAACAAACAATTACCATATTATTCATCGATGATTAATTTTGTTACATGTATAAGCACTATCCTTAATTTTTTAATATTTGGATTGCAGGTTGTCTGGGCAAATTCTGAATACCTTGGATGTGCAAAACATTACTGCAAACATGTTACAGGTTTTGGACCAGGATATTTAGTTGTTTGCGACTACGGTCCTGGGTATGAATGATACATATCTTAATTGCGAAACATTGTTTTTGTGTTTTATGATTTACAATAAATTGATTTAAATGTTAATTAAGCGACAAGGGGATGAAACAACCTTTGAATGATTAAAATAATTTTCTTTGATCCTTGCAGGGGCAATGTTAATGAAGCGAGACCATACACTAGTGGACCAACTTGTAATAATTGTCCAGCCGGGTACACATGTGTGAACAAACTATGCAGCAATTCTGGTAGGAAAAGAAATTAAATAGATATCTGTTAAAGAGTTAACTGCCTACTATCTCACTGTATATATAAAATATTTTTATAGTTATTTATTTGTTTATAATTAAAGTATTAAGGAATTAATATCAATATAAAAATGCCTCACACACGGTTTAAATGTAACAGAATGGCTGTCATTCTCAAATATGTAGCTGTTTTTAGGTGGATCTGGTGGCACTGGGTCCAACGCCTGTTCAACGAATCCATGCAAAAATGGTGGCACTTGCAAGTCTGTCTCTGGGAATGCAGTTTGTCAGTGCACCAGTGGTTGGACTGGAAGTACATGTGAAACACAAGGTTATGTCTATTAACAATTACACTCAAGAAATTCTTCATATAAGTTTTCTCCTCTATCAAGCAATTTTTATAATACAGGGTTGGATTTTAGCCACTTAATCTGCAGACTAAAATAACTTGAACATTATATTAACTTTTAAAGTATTTTTCTTAGAATTTTTGGAATTGAAAATGGATTATACAATTCTCATTAAGGATATTCTTTACATTCATTGGAGAAACGTAGGATTCTAGCAAAAATGGATCCAAATCTAGTACATTTTCGCCATTTTACATTCTGTGGCTTTGTAAAATGTTCGGAAAAGGGATAAATTGTACTTTCATTCACTTTATGTTATTATTTGCAGCAATACATAAATTATAAAATACAAACCAAAGCAAAGAAATGCAATGAGGAGATGAAGGTTAATGAAATAATGAATATTTTCATGTCACTATAAATTCTACGATACTGTATAGAAAGCTCTAAACAAGGCATTTGAACACTTTGGTAAACATCCTTGATCTTCATTTGACTGCGTTAATATACTTAGCTTAAGTCAAACTTTATCATTATCTTACCTAATGCTAATGTACTACTCAAGGATATATTTGTACATACATTTTAGTTTATTTGAATCTTTTTTTTCAAGCTTTGATGATGACCCCACAGCTAGGGATAGAATGTAAATACTCAATCTATTTAATTAAATGAGAGCTATATGACTAATGTTCATATCATTACAGCTTCCTCTAACTGTTCACCTAACCCATGTAAGAATGGAGGTACCTGTTCGGACAATGGTTCTTCTTTCAGTTGTAAATGTTCATCCTCTTGGTCAGGTTCCACATGTGAAACACTGGTAACACAAGGTAAAAAAGATTTAAAAAAAAAATAGTAACGTGGAAATGTTTGTATGAGGGATTTTTTTTGGTCAAATTTGTCATTGCTAACGTTTTGCAATATGTATTTCCACTTTACCTTTAAACTGAACAATAAATGCAATAATGTTATTTATCAATAACTTTTTGCAGCTAACATCGATATGTGTGGTTTTGAAAACTCTATGTGTCTCAGTAACTACAACGGTAACGATGTCGATTTCAATAGGGTGTGTTTTAAAATTTTCAAGTTTTCATTTCATTTCAAGAACAACCTTAATGTCAACTTTTTGATTAAACATGACGCACTATTCTTAAAGTTTTAGCTCACCTGAGTCGAAGGCTTAAGTGAGCTTTTCTGATCGAAAAGTGTCCGGCGTCTGTCAGTCGTGTGTTGTTTGTAAACTTTTAACATTTTCGACTTCTCCAGAACCACTGGGCCAATTTCATCCAAACCTGCCACAATGTCCACACAAAGGGCCATTTTCTCTTTCAAGGGGAGATAATAAGAACGAGTGAAAATTAAATGGCATCTTTAAAAATCTTATCAAGGGCCAGTAGGCCAGAAAAGAGTGAAAGTGTAATTACATAGTGTAGATTCAAGTTTTTTTTCAAATCGTAACCTGGAGTATGATGGGGCCATAACAAGGGATCAAAGTTTTACATAGCAGTATATATAGGAAATATCTTTAAAAATCTTTTTCCTAAGAACAGCAAAACGTTGATTAGTCATATTAATATAGAAACATCCTGAGGTAGTTTAGATTCAAATTCGTTCAAAACATGACTCCCTTAATTGTTTAGGGCTAGGCCAAAACATAGGATCAAAGTTATACTTAGACACTTTGATCCTAAGCTAAGGCCCAGTCCTAATTAACAAAGGGGGTCATGATTTGAACAAATTTGAATCTAAACTACCTGAAGATTCTAGGCAACCTGAGGATCTTTTTCTCAAGAACAGCAGACCATGATAAGTTATATTAACACGGGAGCATCCCAAGGTAATGGAAATTAAGTTTGTTAAAATCATTACCCTCGAAGGTAGGGTTGAGCCACAACAGGGAATCAACGTTATACATATGATATTAAAATATCTTCTGAAGAACAGCAAAGTTGCATCCTCAGGTTGTGTATGTTCACGTTTGTTCAATCATGCTACCTCACTGGAGTAGGTTGGGAACAGTTATATAAACTTTTCAAATACTGAACTGACTTCTGCTTTTCTCCAACCAAAGTGCTCAGGTGAGAGATGTAGCCCATAGGCCTCTTATGTGTTTTCTAGTACAGCTCATTTACTATGAATGACGTGAGTGTTCAAGCACCAGAAGGGGGAGCATTTGCTGCAGCTTATGCTGGATACATTTCTAATACACAGTATGCATATCTGATGTCAAATTATTTACCAGGTAGGTAACTTATTAGCTCTGTTTGTAGTATCTATTAAGGATACATGTGTAAAAAAAAATACATTGAGGATATGTTTTCTAGCTGGATATGGAATTTATTTCAAGCGGGGGACAGAATTTTTTTTTATATTTTCACGAGTGCGAAGCACGAGTGAAAATATATTTTAAAAAAAATCCTGTCTCACCAGTAAAATAAATTAGATACTGGTGTATTTAGATAACTAGTATCCAACTACAAAACATTGAATTTTCTGTTCATTATATTTTCTTTGATTTTCCTTTGCCTCTGTCTTTTCTTAACACAGTGTCATAGGCTGTGATATCATAGTTGAGCGGTTGAGACGTCATAGCTTAGCAATTGTGAGACGGAAAACATTGTAACATGGTGTTAGCAACATATTTGGGAAGAAATCGGCAGTTTTAGTCTCTATCAAGATGGTTTAGTTACTATCTCTATGTTATGAAAGGCCAGAAATTATTTTTTTACTTTCTTTTTTATTCTTTCACACTATGACAGAATATCACTTTGGTATTCTTTCACACTGTCACAGAATATTACTTTTGTTCAGTAAATAGATCAGAATATTTCACTGTTGAAAATGTATTTAAACACTAGTTAATACAAACATACTGTAATGTTACTTATATATATATATATATATATATATATATATATATATATATATATATATATATATATATATATATATATATATATATATATATATATATATATATATATATATATATATTCTATATTAATATTTCTTCACTTAGGGCAGTTATATTAGTTTATGAATTGTTGTAAATTGTCCTCTATAAATAAAATTAATTTCATTACAACGTGTATTGGTAACGATCCTCTAATAAAACTAATGTCCAAATAACTGTATCTCACTTCTATTCTCAATGACAGTGTAGTGTAGGGCAGCGCTGTGAGAATTCCATCGGCATCGAAAGCAAGTTTTTTGACTTGCCTAGATAGCCGAGCGGTCTAACGCGCTGTTCCTGTACTGCTAGGAGACAGATTCCGTAGGTCGAGAGTTCAACCCCGGGCTGGGGCGGAAGTGGGTATCCTTATACAAGTGAATTTCTTTGTGCTTTCTATATATATATATATATATATATATATATATATATATATATATATATATGGCTGAATGAAAAAAAAACCCCGAAAATGGGATTGGAAGCATTTAATTACCGTAACTTTACAGTTTAAGGAAACTCTATATACTGCACAGCAAAGAGTTCTTGGATGGAAGATTAGAATCTACAGTTAATGCCCTATTGTGGAATTGAACTAGCTATTTAGCTATATAGATATGTTAAGTTTTTCGCTCTTTACAGAGAAAGCCGTTAAAGTGACATTCCAGTACAGAATAGTGGGAACTGCTAGATTGACATTTGTGTACGAACAAAAGGGGAAGGATAACGCAGCACCGTTTTCACATTATAAAAGCAATGGCCACTGGCAAACGCATACCGTGAGCATACCTGCTGGGAAGAATACATTCGTAAGGAAATCTTTGAAATACATTAAAATTATTAGATTAGATTAATTATTAGCTGCTGTGTCTTACATTAACATATATATATGTTATATATGTTAGATATTGTATGTATATATATATATATATATATATATATATATATATATATATATATATATATATATATATATATATATATATATATATATATATATATATATATAACATTGGTATCGATCCTCTAATAAAACTAATGTCCAAATAACTGTATCTCACTTCTATTCTCAATGACCGTGTAGTGTAGAGCAGCGCCGCGAGAATTCCATCGGCATCGAAAGCAAGTTTTTTGACTTGCCTAGATAGCCTAGCGGTCTAGCGCGCTGTTCCTGTACTGCTAGGAGACAGATTCCGTAGGTCGAGAGTTCATCCCCGGGCTGGGGAGGAAGTGGATATCCTTATAAAAGTGAATTTCTTTGTGCTTTCTATATTAATAGTTCTTCATTTAGGGCAGTTGTGTTAGTTTAAGAGTTGTAAGTTGTAAATTGTGCTTTATAAATAAAAATTAATTTCATTACAACGTGTATTGGTAACGATCCTCTAATAAAACTTATGTCCAAATATCTTTAGTACATGTTTCACACCTCGAACAAAGGGTTTTTGCTGCCACCAAATCACTTGGTACACTCCAAGCCCAAGCTTCATGGCTGGAAGACTATGCCATTGTGTGCATAATTATGAAACCTATCATTATCAATGATTGGTTACAATCATGGACACAGGGCAAGGTCAATAAACAAAGAATGTTGGACCTGATGTGCTAAACAGTCAATAAAATCTATAGAATTAATAAAGGAAAAAAGATCTTTTTTCCCTTCCCTTCTTTCTTTCTGAATTAATCAACTTTAGCCAAAAATAAAACATTAAAAAATTATTTAAATTAAAAGAAATTAAAATTGAAACAGAAATTTAAGAAAAGTTAAGTAATTATTTGAATATTTAGGATTAAGCAATTACACCACAATAACTTACAACTAGAATTATATCTCATCAAAAAGTGCAAAAAAAAGGTTACTCACCATCTTGCCTTCGATTCTAATTAACAGATTAAGAGGACACAGCAAGAAGTCAAAATTTGATTTTTTGCAAAGTTCAAATACAGGGATATTCCTATATTGCTCAAGTAGTGTGTAAACTTTCCCTGTAATTGTTGTTAGCCGAGACAATCCAACCATACACAGATTTTTTTCCCCCTTTTTTCTGTTTTCGTTTTCTGTGGAAATCTGTGCTTTTCAAGAGCAATTTATCCATTTTACCTCTAAAAACAAATCTTTACTAATGTCCACAAGTCCCCTGACTTAAATCCCATAAAAATGACATGAATATCTTCATACTGAGATTTTGAATCTATAGAAATGAACCTTATTGTGTTTGAAACTACTCACTGTAGACTGTCATCTGACCTGTTGCAGACAGGTATATAATACCCACAGGGGTATAATTATCACATCTGGGCCTGTACAAAATGGCAACAGTCAGGATCAAATCATCGTTATCTTGATTAAATAACAAGAAACACACATAGAATTGTAATGAAATAGATAGAGACACAAAAGGTTTCATTTCTCGTGTGAAACATGTACTAAGTATGTTGTTAAACTTTTCCCTCGCCATTCGATTTGATCCCTCTCTTCGCTCGGCACCAAAGCTCATGCTGCTCGGGAAAAGTTTACCAACATATACGTATCTCACTTCCATTCTTATTCCTTATATTTACATGCTCTTGATTCTGCAAATTCACGTGCTACAAGCCCCGCTTCTGTCTCTATTTGTCCCGCCCCGCACGTGATATTTTTTTTTCACCACGCCTATCGATGAACCAGTAGATTTATGTAGAAATAAAGTATTTTTTCTATTTGAAATTTTATCTCGGACAAAGACATTGGAAATGTAAATATTACGTGTTATAGCCTTTATACCACTAGAGTGAATGCGTGATATATTAGAGTGAATTGATATCACTAGAGTGAATTTCTGCAATAGCAATTTATTTTGACTTAAAATAATTAAGGTTTTCATTAAGTTAGAAAACAATTTCTTTTTTAGTTTTATTTCAAAGCCTCTCTGAGCGCATTTTCCTTGGTTGGCATCGATGATGTGAAGATACAATATTGAAGGTTAGTAGGACTTTGTTTTACAACCATTAGGCACGTTGCCCATTTTATTTAAATTTTCTAGACAAAGACAGATCCAAAAATTGCGACTGGATTTTCGATGTCATATTGAATCTAAGACCCAATGTATTATGTCAGAGGAAATGGGATTATGAAATGATGGCAGGAAAAAACTCATTGATGGTATACTCAGTAAACTTACATCAATTAAATAATAAAATACGTTAATTGCCACGTGCCATTACAATGTCATAAGGTCAAGGCCAAATTCATATTAATGGAAGAGGAGACACTTTTTTTCTTTAGAAAATAACATATCGTTTGTATTGACTTCATCACGAAAATCAATCTTAATTGTGAAATTGATGCATATTCATGTTTATGTACATATAGTCAAACGAGAGATCATGAATTGTACAAATTTTATTTCTTTAAGGTAACATTTGGACAGAAACCCTTGACCAAGAAGATGGATGTAAAAAAAATGCAATAGGCTTACTCACTTAAGAATTCTGAATCATTTGTAAATATTTTTCCAGATCTTTAATTCCAATAAAATATTCTTGTTCATTTGCAACTATTTGTATTTTTGTTATAATTTCACAGTATTGCATTTAAAAAAGGGGGCACTTAAAAATTGAAGGAATAGCTGCCATACTTCTTGTGATATGAAACAATGCATACTTACCAGCTTATGAAGAATATGGGAAACTTTACTCCTACTCGAAAACACCCATCGGAAAATTATGTTTCGACCTGTTTATTTCCTTGACCTTTTTTTTAAAAGAATCAAAGGATTTGTCCACCTCTACTATAAAATAACAAAAATGTGTATGGTTATAACTTCCTGTAATTCAATTAGCTTAATGTTTTATCAAACAAATGTCATCAACTGTTTGATTAATGGTTACATCATTATCATACATATTGAACAAAGTCTACCTCAATGGAGTGAGACATACTGGTTTTCGGCATGACGATCTATCTGTCTGTCGCAAATCGTTCCCGGACCATAACTGCTGACCTTTGATTGGAATGAAACTCTAGATGTATATTCCTGCGATCAAAGTTTTATGACCAAAAGGGTAATTGGATCCAAAGTAAATTTATTGTCTCAAAGATCACGGACACTAGTTTTGAGATTGTGAATTTGTAACAAGCATAAGCCTGATACCCTTTATTATAAGGATTTGAACTTTAATACAGTGTATGTCATTGTCCAAGTAAGGACATGTTACAAACAAAAATATTGATGCATGGATTGGTATCTAAAAATATTTTTGGACTTATTTTTGTTGTAAATCATGCATATACCAAATCTCTAAAGTATATTTTAGAGATATTGGGTCGAGCTAGTAACTGCAAAGTCAAGGTAATTTGGCTGTGAGATAGTGAAAAATGTGTCTCAACTTTTAGAATATTTGGCTCTCTCCCTTACGTTCATTATTACCTAGGTTCATAATCATAGGTTAATTTATCCTGAAAGTACGTGAATATGAAGGCTGTAAACTGATTTTAAATAATACTGTATGATATGCAGATAATCTTGACATCATCAACAAATATGTTTCAAAATATAACTTCATGCCATTAATTCAAGTACATAATAACAAATGATAACAGTAATAACAATTTTATTTGATATTATTTGATATATATATATATACATAATTTGTCGAAATGCGCATCTGGTGCATCAAAATTGGTACCGTATATGATTTACATTATGACTCCTGGGTCGAGTCCTCTGCTGGTGGACTGTTAGTCCTCGAGGGTCTCCTCAGCCCAGTAACCTATTACTTCGTTACTAGCTTGAAAATACGGATATATATTTAATCGCTGTGGTAATATTTAGAGATTTATTTCAAAATTAAGGATTATCTCCCTCATGCATAGCTCTGATCCTTCGACGTATTTGGCTCCAGTCTTTGACACTTTTTTCAGCTCTTCCAATTCTTTTTATTTAAAATTTGGATTCCCAACCTTTCGGCTTGAGGATCACTGAAGAGACATAATTTGTCGAAATGCGCATCTGGTGCATCAAAATTGGTACCATATATGATTTACATATTAAAAAATATTTTAAAACTATTTATCAATATGGAAATAACAAATTTAGTATAATGGTTCATATTAACATTGCATGTGATATGTAAAAAAAGAAGACTCTTAAAATTATCATACGTCGATATTGTGACATTTTTCAAAAGTTTTTTGTGATTATGAAAAAAGTGAAGATGACGAGCAGTCATCGATCTTGTTGGACAATCACAAGATCGTTGTTGTAAAGTAGTACACATTTGTAATACTGCATTCCTTCAGCTTAATTCAAACTCCAAAAAATTAAATGTTGTCTCTATGATCCTGAATCTGGATGATAGTTTGGATGAGATGTATTGAGATAAATGTAGGGCCAACTCGAGGCCATACTTGTTTGTTTAAAATTCTAACTTTAAAGCTAGTTATAAATTTTTTCTCTATAATAAGAATTCCTATATTATGGCCTAAATGTATGCCAAACAATTACACATATGGTCCAGGTAGGACTGTATTTTTTTGTCCCTTTAACTGGTTTCAAGAATCAATAATTCTTTAGATGGAAGACGATTTTTCTCTCTTCTCAAAGCTTTTACATTTTTTAAAAAATACAAAATTACTGATCATTAAACAGACTCCAAAATATAAATTTTCAACAAACATGTGTCCTTTGATGCCCATCAGTAGAAGATTAAATCTTAAGAAAATGATATAATGTTTAATGTTTTAAAATGAATTTAGGCAAGTGCCAATTCAGAATCACAGAAAAGCAACATTTATCTATCGAAAATCTACTACCTCCTACTTATTGAATTT